AACGTGCAGTATTGCTAATCAACAAGCTTCAAGCTAAATGAGTCGAGTCTCGTTGACGAAAATCTGGAAATTACAAAAAGTCGACGAAAAAAGCACAGACTATACAAAATACCGTGAGTTTATCATGAAAGAAGCTTTACCATATCATATATTATCACACGCGGGAATATACATATTCAAGAGGATTGCTTGATTCCTCTCCGCCCTAGGGTGGTTCACGTAACCGCTGGTCGGTTACAACTTCCTCCATCATCAAGGCCATGCTTCCGTAAACAAAGACAAACTAATCCCATTCCGGACATGGACTGGTAAACCAGCGAGATTATGCAAGCACATCGGTTCCCCGAGGTCGGGAAAAAAATTTGCCCGTGCCAAATGGGTCGTGATCGAAAAAGTTTTTTAGGAACACTGCCATATTCCATATATAGCGTTAACGTTTTTACGTATTTTGTTAACATCAGCTTTGACAGAAGTTAGAATTTTAAACTTGATGGGAAAAATTAGAGTGTTGACAAGGATGCACTAAATGCCTTGGCGGGCCAGATTGTGGCCCGCGGGACGCCTGTTGCACACCCCTGCACTACCTTATCTATACATTAGGCGCACCGGCCTATAGATCGCACGAGAAATTATTTAATTATTTAAAGTGCGCCTTATGGACCGTATATGTAACACGTAACACGCGTCATTTAAAAAAACAATGCTCATTAGTGAACTACAGTAGTTTATTTCAATCATTTATTGACAATAGTGACAGACTCATATATGTCCGTGTTGACAGTTAGCCGGCGTCGATGTCAAGGATTAAGAGCTGCAGCGTCTTGAATATTTTATTATGATGATTACAATTATTTCAAGAGTCTTGTTGCACACCAACACGAACATCCTTTTGATCACGTTTCGTCTGAAAAAAGTCTCGACAATTATTTTCCGCGCAAACGACATTACCCTTTTAAATAACTATATTCTTTTCATATCCTGTACATTTTTCGTGAAAACGGTTCTTGCGAAAAAAGGTTCACCGACTTCTAATCGTGCGATTTGAATACCCCATGCTTCAAAATCATTTTCGCGCCAATGATCTTCTCGTCAAAGGGCTTGACTAATTAAAGTTATTAAGTACTTAACTCTTCGAATCGTCCCTTCAATATTTGTTGCACAAAACGTTGCTTTGAATATCTATACAAATTAAGAGCGCTATTCTAAGAATATATTTTTGTGCAAACAGTTTTCGCGCTAACGGCCACCACCATTAGTCCTTATGCGCCCTCCATTCTTCGACGTTCTCACAAAAAACTTTTCGCGCAAACGTTCAATCTTTGAATTTTTAAACACTTCAAATTGTTTTCACGCAAAAATTTTTGCGCCTAACAGATGTCACCACTTTCATAGCGTGGACGCGCTAAGTACTCATTCGTGGAATCGTTCCCCAAAATTTTTTTTATTTAATTAGCTGTCCAGCACACGCTTCACCGTGTCATTTTCATTTAACGACAATTTTGTGCCAAAATTATGAATATTTCAAGACTTCACGTCTGGGTATATGTAAGTGAGCTAAAAATAACAGTTGCCGACATCTGAGCTATTTTGAATGACAGTTCTGAAACCGAATTTATTTTTTCTTCGAATAGACCCTAAATAGCATGTTTATATATAATTATATGGTGCGCAATGAAATGTACTATGCTTATTATATACATTTTGACTGATGGTTTATTTTTCCTTCAACATGTATCAGTTTGAATATTAATAGGAGCAAAATACTAATACATAAATCCACGTTTTTCAATCGGGGGGGGGGGGGGGGGGGATTTTGTAGATATCGGGGAGGAATTTTGCTTTGTATTTGCTGTACTAATATTCTTTGTTTATTTATTATTATTACTATAATATTCATTCAGGAACATACAATAAACGGCGCTCCATAAGTATGTGTACCAATATGGAGGAAACTAATTTTGTTCGCCCACTTGTTCCGGTGGATAGGATAGGATTTACATATTTATCCCGGGGGAGAGGAAAGCCGATAATATAGCTTAATCATATAGCGAATAACACTTTTCGTCCGGTTACCAGTCCATGTCGGGTAAGGGATTAGTTAGCCAGTTATTTGTTTTCGGAAGCATGGACTTGACGGTGGAGGAAGCCGTAACCGACCAGCGGTTACGTGAACCACCCAACGGCGGCGAAGAGACCAGCAATACTCCCGCACATAACCATCCCTGCATGAGATTCGAACCTGCGAACCACGCAAAGAAATCAGAAGTGCGGTGGCGAGCGATTCCTAACGCTCAGCACGATGAGCCACACCGCCGCGCCATGTCCGCCATCTTGGTTCACATACTTCGGGAGTACCAAGAAATGGACTATCGACTCTACAGTTTCAGCAGCTCTTGACAATTCAGTGGCCATCAATGCTCAGAGATTCGTCTCATCCCTACTTTAAAAAAATTCTCTCAAATAAAGACTACTAAAGCACGGAAAGATGAAATAAAATTTTCTTAACCGTCCCTCGGGGATAAAACCGATACAACAGGTTAAGCATATGTTACGGAAACCCTGGCCTAGTTATACATATGGATTGAGTAGGAAGGTCGCTGACTGGTTTTAAACGATCAATTTCGTATCTGTAACATATCAAATCTTGATATTATTCTGTAAATGCTCCAATAATCTTTGATATCGTATCATAGATATGAGTTAAATATAAGGGTCGTTGCTATTTTGAAACGTTAAAAACCGTATCTATATACGGATGTCAGGTCAATACCCGAATCAGTTACTAAAATTTTCAATCGCCAAGTTAGGCTGTAACAGCTAGCGGACATGGCAGGAGGTCGGAAAACGTAGGTTTCCATGCTTCTTAAGGGTCTACAAGACGTTTCAAGTTACGAAAGATTGCTATGTATGGTTGAAGGAAATTTTGTTTCACCTTCCCAAAAAGGGGTTCACTCGGAAGTGCTTCATATGTCAGAATTGCATTTTAGAAATTTACCGTGAATAAAAAAATGGACTGAATCTCAACCTGTGGGTGAACAAGATGGCGGTGATTCGAATTTCCGTCTGAACGATTCGAATAATTTACTATTCGATTCGATTCAAATGTACGAAACGCCCAGCCCTAATAGTAGATCGCTACACGATTGCTTTTACATCACCGTTCGACGTGAAAGTGTAATAAACACTATTCCAAAATAATCCTGTGAGAGTAATATAAAGGTATATTGTGCTCGTAGTTTGAACACGAAACGCTAACGTGGGCGCTCCACGACTCTTAAGAACGAAGACAACACCATTTTAACCGCGTTACTACAATATGTAATCTTCAATATGTGATACTATCATTCATTGAAACATGCTCAAAGCAAGGGATCACTGAATAAAACTGCATGGAATGAAAATAACATATTATTCTATCTAATTCTGTCTAAAACTATTAAAAGATTACCAAATCAATACCATAAGCCTATCATACAGATAATAGTATTTGAAGCCAGATATGCTAAAATATACATGTGATTCGATTAGAAAATAAGTCAAGACACATAAAGAGCATTTGAATTAGTTTTTAATCTCAAATGTTCAAATAGATATTAGTCTAAGTGGAAAAATGTATTTGACAAATTCTTACTTAATTAGATTACGTGATAAAACTTGCATTCCGAGTACATTGTTGTTCTGATAAGGCACCGTACAGGCTGCAAATTAGGCTCTGTAAAACCAGCAGCGGGGTCATGAAAATGTACTATATTTCAAAGAATGAATGTAGCCAGAATGTATCTTTTTTTCGGTTCCATTACATTTGAACACACGTACATTTGAACCCATGACAATTGCACCTGTATGCTATTGCACCTATGAAATTTTTTTGTTTTTCGGATAGTTGAACCCATACTAACCCTAACCCATGGGTTTTAGCACCCGCATATAGATTGAACCCGTGTATATACACATGGGTTCAAATGTACGTGGGTTCAAATGTACGGTCACCCTTTTTTTTCTATATCGTACATAGCAATTTTTTGTAGATTAAAACGAGTTTTCAACCCGGTTCCGATAGGCGTTACGGTGTAACTTGGCAATAGGAAATTTCTACACACCGACCCCCAATGCGATGATTAAAATGCTAAAAGCTACTGAAAAAAATATATAATTACGGTGCCGTATTACTCGTCTACATTCAAAGAATGAATGTAGCCAAGATGTTGCTTATTTTAAGTGTATAAAAAGCAAATATTTTCCTATATCATACATAGCATTTTTTGTAGCCTTAAAAGAGTTTTCGAACCGGATCCGCTAGGTGTTACGGTGTAACTTGGGCAATGAGAAATTTCAACACGCCGACCCCGTATTCGATGATTGAAATGCTAAAGGATAGTGAAAAAATATATAATTATGGTGTCGTATTACCCGTATACAACCCCCGATTAACGCAAAAGTCAAAAATTACCATTTTCAAATTTTTTTAATCGAGTAGAGACAAAGATAAACTTTAATATTAATGACTAATTCACTGATCTCATTACACGATGAATCTGTTCAAGTGAGATCTCGGGCAAAGTTTGAGATAATCCTAATTAAAAACTTTTCTTTCCTAATCCTTTGTCTTATACCAAGAAATGACTTACGAACGTGATGGCGTAATGTTAGAACAGTGGTTCCCAACGTCTTTTTAAGCGACACATCTTTCATAGAATTTAATTTTGTAAAATCTCACGGTCACGGATATACACACATACATATATATATATATATATACATACTTATACCATTTTTCGACATGATTATTTGTTTGCCATAAGCGAATTTTTGACATTGTGGCAAGCAAAATAGATGCAAAAAGCACGAGCGAACATTTTATTAGGTCATTATACAAAACGACTTGCACAAACGACACCCTCACAAAATTTTGGGCCGGCTTGGCTCTTGAGCAGTTGCTGCCGCGAACAGTTTGTTCTGAGTAAACATCGTCGCATAAAATTATATACATGTATACTCACATTTGACGTGGGCCCAACATATTCCCAGTATAAACAGTTGTAAATTCCATTTTGTATTCCTTTTCATTCTGTATGTCACGTGATCACAATTATCATTTATTAATTTTCTTCATCAATCTCAGATCATTTATTATTTATCTATTTCCTGGAAATTTAAATTAGTAAATGATGCAAAAATTGAACTGGGTCAGGTGTTTGGGATAGGCTTTTTTCCCAATCAATCGCCATCCTCTGTATATGAATACTGAACTGCCATTCAATCAGTAAGTTATGAATAGGAATAAATATATGGCCCCAATCGCCATTTGTCTGTTGCGCGGCCATATTGACACCGAAAATGTGTTCTGCCAATACAACATTTACATAAACACGTACATAAATCAAAACCTTATTTAGTTTAAAAATTCAAAATCTGTGTAGCGTGTCTGACAGCATTTATTACCCTAATTCACAATAAATGCGTTTACTATCGTTGGTGGCCATTCAAAAATGTAATTTTCGATTTTATGAAGTCGTCTTGTCGGCTTTCTACCACGTATAAATCATGAAAATCATATATTTACACTGTTACGTTCACCTTTTGCAAAGTAAACAGCGCGTACACATAACAACAATTTTGCGACTAATGTAACTCTTTTTCCTAAACACGCACTCATACAGCAAAACATACCAATACGCACAACACAATAGGCGGTCCAGAAGTGTGTGATGCAATATGGAGGTAACTAATTTTGTTCGCCTACTTTACATCAAGTTGTGTAAAGGGACTGAGCATATGAGCAATGGGTACATTCACTTCGCAAACACAGACAGTCCCCGAACTCGTAATAGGACTAAAATGAGGATAATCGGAATACAATTATGGCCTAACCCTATCCTGGTACACATACTACAGGAGTACCGAATATTCAATACAAGACTTTTAAGTTCTTTAAAACAGTCATCTTTAATCTTGCTAAGGCCTTTTTTGCATTATACGCACGCATAGGCATACCAGCGACTCACGCAGAAAGAACCACAGCACAGAGCACAGAATAAGAACAGGTAGTAACACTCGCGAAACCTCAAACTGAATGTTCCGTGTCTGAAGCAAACTTATTCCTAAAGGTAAGGGGTCGTACTGTTAGTAATGGATAATACACAGTACAATTATGCCAAGTATGGTCCTACGATATTTTATTGGTAATATACATGGTCCGAGGATGTATTTTACAAATGTAATAATCACCTTCAATTATCAACAAGTTGTCTGTTTGTTTACGTCTGAAAACTTCCTGATGACAATCTTCCGGGTTACACATAGGTTCAAAGTTTAAAAAAGGTTCATATGAAATCCATCTATAACACGTGCTATACAATAACAAAATCCTAGTATATAAATGTCGCTGTTAGTGCGACCATAACTTTGCTTAAAGATGAGTCAACTTTACTTCTGAGTGAGTGGTCATAACCATGGTCGGAGATGAGTAAATCTTGCTTGTAGTAAACATCCCAAAGACACGCTGATAACTTCTGACCAGAATATCCTAAAAACTACATCCTCGGCGAAGTATTGTTTGCCACAAATACCTTTTCGACTTCAGAAAATTATTTAAAAAAACAACAGAAAATCCATCTCAACACATTTGAGTATTTTAGCTCGCAGCGGTGTATTTTCCTTCATATAGGTACACCCCTCATTAGCACGTTTTACATGTAACCGTCGTACGCTAAGTCCCGAAGGATATGTCGCTCCACAATCACCGAATTTTCTTTTTAAATGACGTCACTTTATGCATGAATGAGCACAAAAATCAATAAAGACATCCTAAATATGAAAAGCACATAATTATCGTTGACCGTTCGCGCGCTGTTACTTACGAAACCTAATTTTGAAGATCGACGGTCAAGAGTTACTTCGGACCTCGCATGCGACTAATGAATATTTCATAATAATACGACGAGAGCGGAAAGCTGATTAGACGATTTTATCATATTATGTTTTCGTCTGGTTAACAAATAAGGAATGAAATATATTCGAATATTTTCTGTGAAAATTTTTCAACGGTAATTCAATTTGCCATGAACCTGAATCCGGGGTTCTTTCTGAATTGTGGCTATCATTCGTCCGAGTTTAACATGGTGTAGTTTCGGACAATGAGAACTTCGGACCAAAATAGGTCGGACTTTCTATGATCTCGGACCAAAACTTCGAATAATTTTTTTTACTAATAAAAATATTTGTAACTAACCGAGCTTAACATACTATAATTTCGGGCAAGAAAACTTCGTGTTTCGTGTTTCCTCGAAAAAAAAAGACAGGGTCCTATTTCAATTTTCTTCCGGAAAATACCACTAGAGCTTATTTTGGGGGATGGGTTAGGTATGGGATGGGTTATTAACTTTATATAATTTTGAACCAAAAACTTCATTAAATAATTTTGCTAGCTAATCAATAAAATGCAATCGTCCGAGTTTACCATTATATAAAGTCGGACTTTACAACTTTGGATCAAAGCATTTCGTCCGTTGGTTAGAATTTTCTTCAGTAAAGACAGACTACACGACTCAACTATGCCGCCTGACTAATGGAACTTTACATTATTTCTGATACGATGCTCGACTAGGACTAGTTAACTATGACATATGCTAAACGAATATTTAACTTTAAAATTTCCGGACAAATAATGTCGAGTGGTGAGCCACGCAATCGAACTTAATCGATTACGTGTGTAAGTCTTCTGCTAACTTCCAATATTACAGGCAGCATAATACTTCGAAAATAAATAATTCAAGCGTAAAAATTAACCTTATTGCTTATACCGACTTCCTCCGTCTATTCGTATACGCTATAAGGGAAGGATATTAGTTCTTTTGTTTTTTCTGTCCCACAAAACAGATCAATGGCTCAGTCAGTCAGTCAGTAGTTCATTTTTCACCAAAATGAAAATGCACTTACAATGAGCTTAAGCTTAAAAAAAGTTGAAAATGACATTCCATGGTGGAAGGTGACGCGAATAAAACAAAGTTGGTTATCGAGCAGCGACACCTGTGATAAGAGTCTAACTTTGATACAAATTTAATAGAAATAAGACAAACAATATATAAATTAATACATCAAATATTAAAGTCCTAAAACCAAATTTGTTACAGAAAAGAGACTCAAGGCACCGCCAAGTACGGGAGGGGTAACCATAGGCAACGAACAGCATAGCAACGACCATAGCTGATTACAAAACGATCCACCAACAGATATGCGAGTGATTTAGTTTAGTTTAATTTTATTCGTGATTTTATAATTAATTTTAATTTTATAAGTGATTCAAGTGTCTTGCTGCTCACTAGCACACATGTATTATATGTAACGTTCGGTCTGACAAAGGTTAACCTATTTTAGACTGGTATATTTCAACTGACAAATATAATAACATTTATTATAAGTTATGTTTTGTTTCGTCCGAACTATTGAAGTGGATGTGGAATAGAAGTCGTATTTTAAAATATTCCGAAATCAGAATTTCTGGATTTTCACGGTGATAAAATAAGTCAAAATTTTCTTAATTAATCAAATTAACAATTACCGTTCTCAACAGTCTTAACACTATAGTGAATTTTCCTCACTCCCCAACGCTCGTCTGAAGAAGTTAGACTATGATCTAACTAAAGTTCACAAAAATACTTGCTATTACGTAGTAGGAGATTATGATATATTAATTTTTTTCGGGGGTCATCGTCCCGCTTTTTTTTTTTGTTTAAATAGCAAAACGAACTCTCTATGAGCAAACGTAATATAAACTGAATCAAATAGAACAAATAAAAAAAAAAAATTAGGCAATTCCACGATGCCCTATATAGTTGTAAAATGCTTGCCTGAAGAAGTCTGATCTTGGTCAGACGAAACGTTACAGAAATACATTTGTGTAAGCGTGCAGCAAGACTCTTGAATTAAATAGAATAATCATTTACACTCTTGCTACAGCATCCTTGCGTAATATGCATACGGATCCACCTGCGCAAAGGCATATAGAGCAAGGAAAGGTTGTTAGTTTCACGCAACCTCAACTATTAGCCCTATTTATTGTTTTGATTATTAACAACACAGTTTCAGTGCAAAAGCATCATATAGTTATACTATGGGCTTTGAAAGTTCATTAATTAACAGGAGTTATATTAGCTCTTTTGCCCACACGAATACTGTTATCGCGCGGCACCGCGATACAAAAAATAAGGCAAATTTTAGAATGATCACCGAAGTGTTTTCCCTTCTCAAAATTGTTTGTTTTAGGCTTAAAAATCAATTCAATGGAAATCAAAAATGACTCGATATATTGTGAAAAATGACAACTGTAAAATTACACACCTAAAGTTTGAACTCGACGCAATAGTGCACTAGCCAACTGAACTACTTGAAGTTACAACTCACCCTCAAGAGGTACGTATATCACTGTCGCTGGTGGATATGTAAGCATATAACGCAAAGATGTTGCAGCAAGAATAAAAATATCTGTACTAAGTGATTCAAGAGTCTTGCTGCACACTAACACAAATGTATTTCTGTAACGTTTCGCCTGACCAAAGCCGGACCTCCTCAGGCCAAAGCTATCAGAAATATATCTGTCCTGGTGTACATTAGTTTAATCACTCACACATACAAAATAGTGAATGTGTGTAATAGTGTTCAAATTTTATAAACCGCAAAAAACCACAATGCCACTGGTGTATTGAAAAAAATAAAAATCCTGAATAAATACTGATTCGAATAAAACAAACCTGGCTAAAATTTAATCGCTTCTTGCCCCGATTTTTTGCATTATTCAAACACATTTTTCACTAGTTTAAATAGTAAAAGTAAAAAGTAATATATAAAACCATACAATTACTAGAATATCGTTCATCATTAGCTTTTTACTCTCCCAAAATCTAGCATGTATTGCTATGAAAACGCGTGGTACCAAACACAAACACAAAATTGAAATTGCAAAAAGACTTGTATATAATTTGCTTCTTATTTTACAATGTAAACGCAACAACTCACTTACTATTCGGGCTACAAGTTCTGCTAACTAATCGCATTGTAACCCTTCTCTAAACAATTAAAAACAAATAAAATCACCGCTGGTGACCTGTATCGATGAGTTGATGGCGCCGAGAAGGCAAGGAGTCTGA